TTGAGATTTTTGTGGGAGCTTTCCCCCTATTGAAGCTACACTGTACCAATCCGAAATGACAGTTTAATTTTTATAACATTAAAACTAATCCACTTATTCTTACCATTTTAATTAAATAATTAAGGTAAATATAATATATAATATACGCAATTTGTCGGTAACAATTAAAATAAAGTAATGCCCATTACATGTTTTTTTTTTGTACATTTTATCACAAATATTATATATATGTATATACGAGTAAACTAGTTGTACAACTCAGTCGAAATATTACAGAAAATACATACTGTCGTTTTATTTAATTTTTATAAATAATTTTGTATTTGATATATAAAATTATCGATACATATAAATAATATAAATAACCATATGAATAAATTATATATATATATATATATATAATTTTAAATCTCTGTGCCTGTGAGCTCCGGCATATGTATATATATGTATATACAGATACACACGCACGCACGCACGCAAATTGCAGCCAACCAAATCTTGGAGAGACAAATCAATTGAATTGTTGATATTTATATTATTTTTTAAAGAATTTATAATTTGGAGTTGTGTTTTTCGTATTTTTTTAATTAATATTTATCTTATTAAAAGATTTAATTAAAAAAATTAAATTAATATATTTTTAGAAAAAAAAAAAAAGAGGCTTAATTAACTATATTTAATTGGTTTTCAATTTCCTCCGGCTTTTGGATGAAAACGACAATATTACAGTTTTATGGGCCGTCGTTTTAAGGATTTCTGTGTTGACAAATGGCACTTCCACGGTTATGCTGGACAAGGGACCCACTGGGATCATTCAGCCAAATACTCTTTGACATTTTTCAGGCTTCATGAAAATAATAATTTGATTTGATTTAAGGAAATTCAAATCAGCCCGCCTTCTTCTTTTCACTAAAATTACAACTTAAGACCTTTAATTTTTGTTAGAATTAAGTTATCATCACTAATGATATACGTATGGTCAAGTCTTAAAAACTATTTTGAGTACAACAATTATGTAAATTGATTCTTGTATACATCTATTTTTTTAGATGCTGTGAGCTTGTGATGCACGACTCTGAGACAAAATTTTTAGTTTTTAATTATTAATTTAAAATAATTAAATATTTTATTTTATTTTTATTTAAATAGAATTTTGAGAAAAAAATAATTAGAAATGAGATTGAAAATAATTTTGAAAAAAATGAATAAATTTAAGTTATATGATTATTTTTGAAAGAAAAATTAAAAATAGAGGAATCAAAGTACAAATAGAGAAAAGTTTAGTTATGTAGAACATATCAATCTGTAGTTTCGATGAACTAGAGCGCGCAGCGTGGTAAGACGCGCTAATGTCGGTACCATGCAGGAGGGCACACTGATGATTTGCATGCCTCGCGATCGGACGATTTAAGATCGATCCTGCACCCGTGGACGGTCCAAATTCGTTTCTCTCTTAGACGTGATCGGACGGTCGAGATCAATCGCGATAAACGACCCGAATTCATTTCGATCGCAATGGACGACTCAGATCAATGCGATATGGTTATAAATACTTCGCATCACACGAGAACCTGAACCTTAGCCGCTAGCCTCTACCGAAGAAGAAGAATCAGACGCCGGAGAAGGAGGCCGACCGCCGCCGTACCAGAGCCACCGTCGATTGCTAAAAAGGGTAAAAATTCTCTATATCCGTTCGGAATTCGATTTCAAGTACCCACGTGATCAAATCGAAGAAAGAGCGATGACGGATAAGACAGAAATTGCGGGCAAAGCTCGGCGAAGCCGCGACGACTAAAATCCCAAAATTTCTCCGATGAGTCCCTTTCTAATTTTTTATTTTACTTGATTTTTCGATCATTGTGTTCACTATCATTTTCTATGCAAGATAGCCGAAGAAAGAACCTCAACCGTGAAGGAAGACTGGTGGAGTTGCTGTACCCAGAGACCCCCTCCACCAGTAGGTTCGATTTTTTTTTTTTTTTTGTGATTTTTCGACCAATTGAGGTCCATAATGTATTTTTTTACAAGGAAATAGTCAAAATCGGCAAAAATCGAGTAGGTCGAGACGAACTGCCACTAAAGACAGCAGAACCAGCACCGGAGCATAGCGCTGCTGCCATGCCGAAACTCCAAAATTGGTCATAATGAGTTTTAGACACCGATTTTAGATTTTTTGATGTATTTTTAGGTATATGACGAGTATTTTGAATTTTACATAAAAAATTTAAGGAATCTGGTACCTGTTAAGAGGCGTAGTAGATAACTTGATGTCTCAAAATACGGATTCAGATAAGGATCCATCACCATATTCTTCGTTACGGTAAATTGAGATTTAATGTTATATAATTTCATATTTTTATAAAAAATTAAAAAATCTTAAAAATAATTATAGGTCACTAGTGGAGTCGGAATCGGTTAGTTCACAATTGTTCCGATTTTCTGTTTATTTTCTTATACTGTACTATTTGCTTGTTATTATATGGTACATGTTCTTAATTTATATTTTCTATAGCTTTATCAGTTCATCTGATTTATTCAGTTATATATTGTCAGCATTAATATAGTTTAATTGATATGTGAATATAATATGAGATATTAGTGTGCGTGGTTGATTGTTTGTAATGTGAATTTTATGTGAAAAACTTACTGGGTATTCAGAGAAAGGGCGGACGGGTCCGATATATAGAGAACTCTACCGTGAACGGTACGTCAGTCGAATGAGGCTGTAAAGTTCCTTACTAGAAAGATTTTGGAAATATGCTTCACCTTCATAATAGATGGAGTATCGAAACATTTGGCACCCATTACTGGACGGAGTACGGGAATGGCTGGTTAATTGTTAAAATTGGATATTGGGTTTGCGAGTAGGGGGATATCCATATGGACCCCTAGGGTTACTAATAAGCAGATAAGAAATGAAAGTTATGTCTCTTATTTTCTTACACATGAAAATAAAAAGTGATATGAATACAAGTTTTCATAGGTTGTATTTAAAAAACTCGTTACGGTAAGTACATAATAAACGATCTTCTTTATATTAAATGAATTTACTCAAATTAAGTACTACATAAGTTGTTTTATGATTTTTATTAATATTCAGTTTTCCATATCTGTAATTAGTGTGATATTTTTACTAATTTAGTGTAGTTTACCCTTTCATTAACTATTTCAGATTAAGAGAATCAAAATTTAGATCCCGATCAGTAAGAGGATTGTGAGTAGTTTACTATCCGAACTTACTTCAAGTGCTAGTAGTTATCTTAAAATATCTAGTTATTCGCTTTTCGTTTTATTTCTTTATTTTTCGTTTGTCTTTTAGAATGAATATTCCCATAACTCTATTAGACATTCAAAATTATTATATAAAAAATGTAAACGTCAACTTTATTAGTCACTTTTCTATTTAATTTATAAATTTAATTTCTTTTAAGTTCCGTATCTTTACAGATGATGCTTAAGTGAGAACTAAAAGGAATTAAAACAACAATGATGATGAAGTTTTTTATTTTATTTTA